CTTTATATACATTATGACATATTTTCACACTCTTATAAGGTAGTAATATTTTATAAGATAAATCTATTATTATTTCTATTTTAGAGATGAAGAAACTGAAGCTCAGAAAGGTCAAATAAGTTTCCAAGTTTGCACATATCGTAAGCCAAGAACCAAATCCAGAGTCTCCAGAGTCTAAGCCAATACAATCAAGGACATCAAAGAAAAAAGTTCCTAAGTAATAAGTTCTTAAAAGATCATCCTCAGTATTAATCATTGTCAATAAATACAACAGTGAGATTTTTTTTGTATATCTACTTTATTGTTAAAAAGATTAGGGATAAGAGTACATAATGTAAAAGGGAAGGTAGGGGTGTCCCAGCTGTGAAAGGGCATGGGAGAACTTTCTGGGATGATGGAAGTGTTCTGTATCTTGACGGGGGTTTTCGTTACACAGGTTGTATTCATTTGTCAAAACTCATCAAAGGGTACACATAGGATTTGTGCATTTCAGTATATGTCAATTTTACTTAAAAATCAAATTAAATATTAAACTCTAGTTAATGCTGAGCATGCTAAAGCATTTAGGGATAAAACGAACTGATGCTGAAAATTACTTTGAAATGCATAAGAATTAAGATGGACTAATGGATGGATAGATATGTGCTAAAGTCTATATAGCAAGCTGCGAACAATAGAACCTAGGTGATAGGGATGTACATGTTAACTGTACAATTCTTTTAGCTTTCCTTCATGTTTGGGAATTTTTATGATAAAATGTTGAGAGAAAAACATGATTGAACGAAGGAAGGATATAGATAATTATAATAATAACTAATATTTACTGAATGCTTACTATGTGCCAGGCACTGTGCTAGTGCTTTACATGTTATTTTTTAATACAACAATTTATAAGGCAAGAGATTCTATTCTATCTTACAGATGAAGAAACTGAAGCCCATAAATGGTAAATAACTTGCCCAAGGTGACAAAGCCAACAAGTAGCCAAGTCAGGCTATGAATCCAGCCTGATTCTAGTGTCTAGGCTATATATGGAATCACATAGTAATGGGGATAATCTTGCTAGTAGTTCATCTAATTAGAATGTGGTAGCACGTGGAACAACCTAACTAGAAAGCCCATACACAGTATCCCTACTCCTTGCAGTCTTTCTGGAATGGCTCCCAAATTTCTGGCAAATACAGCTGAAATACAGAGGAAAGCAAGTGGGGGTAGTAGGTAGAGGGTTGTGGGAAGTGATGTGGGATGATGGAGATGATGGAGAGAGATGACAGATTTGCTTTTGTACATGCAAGCTCGAGAGGTCTTTGGGATATCCAGGGAGAGATGAAGACAGCAGATACTAGAACCAAGGACACAGATCTGATTCTGGGTGGCTATTGAAGGCTTGGCAGTGAGAAGACCAGAGAGTGGTCAAGACAGAACCTCATTTAAAAAGCTAATGAATAAAGAGTATTCAGCCAAGCTGAGAGTAGAAGGAAAAAAAAAAAAAACAGAAGAAAGTGCTGTCATAGAGCTCAAAATTTGTTGAGTATCCCAATTTTGTGTCATTTTCACTTAAGGGTATCTGGTCTTATGTTGGAAGATGCTTAATATTTCTAAACCTAAACAGCTTTATGTAACCTATTTTCTATAGAAAAATATGAGAAAAATGCATGGCTTATATTATACTCACCATATCTAATGGTGAATATTTTTAACAAGACACATGAAAGCAAGTTCACTTTGGGGACCATAAAATTGTTTCTGTTCACAGTGAAGTGGGAGCTCTTTCATATAATTCCAGTAATCCCGGTTCTTCAAGAATTTTTCTAGCCTTATATTACTTTGATTACATACTAGAACACTTCTCATGTTTTAGGAGAGCTGAGGTGCCAAACTGCATCTGTTTTATAGTTACTCCAATTCTTTTGTTTCTTTGAGCAACTTATGTAGAATTGTGCTTAAGGGGACAATACTGTTTAAACAGCATATTACATATATTGGACATCTGGGATAGTTTCTCAACTGACTTGTCAGAAGCAGTTATAATTACTGTCTATAATATTGGTTTCATATCAAATTTGATTTCAGTACAGTCATTCAACAAAGGCTTAAGCATCTCCAATTTGCTTCAATTGCTTTGGCCACCAAACCAGGGTTATTACTAGATCTATTTCTAGTTGCTGCTCAAGAGCAGTGACTTGGGAAACAACTGTTATAGCTATTGCTTCTAATTTGTTTCAAGCATACCTGTGTATTGAATAATTTGAAAATAACTGTAGTTCAGCTTAATGCATAAATATGTTATTTTAATTTTGACAGAGCTCTTAAATTTTAGGATGAGAAATGACTATATTGAATGTGACTTGAGTATACTTGTTTTAAGGTAAAAACATATCTTTAATAAGTTTCCTGAAGATGAAAACTTCATATTGCCCCAGGGTTTTAGGTGCTGATTTATATTATACCATGATTGATTCAGACAAAATTCCAACTAGAGATTTATAATTTTTAATATTATTAATTACAAGCAGTACTTAAATAAATAACAGTTTTTCTTCAACATAAAAAACATCTTAAGTCAGAAACCAATAGTATTGTTTTTCCTTTATCAAGTTGAACAACTTTTACTTCCTTTCTTCTTGGCCCAGCAGTGTGATCCTCCCCACGTTTCAAACTATAGCTGAAACATAGCTTAAACTTTTACTTGGAGGTAGATTATTAACAATAAGTACTTTAAAAAGTTTGACTACTTTAGTGTTCTCTCTCTCTCTCTCTCTCTCTCTCTCTCTCTCTCTCTCTCTCTCTCTCTCTCTCTGTGTGTGTGTGTGTGTGTGTATGTATGTATGTATAGCACTGTGTTTTTAAAGTATGGTCAGATGGGTGACCTTAAGGACTGGCCTATCATATGATAATCTCTATCTTACCTTTTGGTACAGATTCTTTAGGATAGTGAATGTCAAACACAAATCATCACATTAATCTTGACAAAATCAGCCTCATTCTTGCTATCAATTCATGTGTGTGTGTGTGTGTGTGTGTGTGTGTGTGTGTGTGTGTGTGTGTGTGTGTGTCTTGTGATGGGATAACCAGTCAGTAGAGGTTTTAATTCTGCTGATGTGATTTTTCAATCATCGCCCCAGGCAACCACTGATCTAAGCAGGAAAATGACAAAATAGTCCATAGCCTTGAATTCTGGTCCGAGCTTGCTAGAAACTTTGCTATGCGACATTGGATGTGAAAATTAAACTATGCTAGACCCTCACCTGTAAGTGGAGAGAACCACAGCATCCTTTCCCTATCAAAGGTTTGTTTCCCTGTTCTATCCTAAGGAGAAATCAAGGTGCCAGATCCTTGGGCACTATAAAGATCCAGTAGTGGAGATTCCAAAATTTTTTGCTGAAGATTAAGTCAGTGATAGGGAAATCTGGCTGGCACCAATTTGGAAATTACAGGACATTAATTTGACGCTTTGCTAGCTGATTATTTTAGGGAAAGGCTTACCCTGATTTCATGATGGCGGCACTCTAAATTGTAGTCTTTAAGTCCACTCCTAAAGTGTAAGTCCATATTATTTTTGCTAATTTTAGGATGACTTGATTTGTCCACTAAATTCCTGACTTATTGAACCAATTAAGTAGATAACTAACCGCCGAAGCAGATTGTGTGAACTTAAGCAGTTTCTAGGCTAGAGAACATTGACCACTAGAGTTAGAAGGGGAAAGGAATGAATCTTTACTATGTGCTGGATGTTTTACACATATCATCAAAGGATCCTGGGAGGTAGGAGTTATGCCCATTGAGGCTCGGAACAGTTATCTATTGTAATTTTTTTTAACTTTCTGTGATGTGGCCTAGGCCACAATTTTAGTAAAATAATAAATTGGTTTAAATACTACTTCTTTAAAGAAATCTTATTTGATCACTCTGTGGAAAA